GTTTATCTATTAAGTCAGGATAACAAATTTCTGATAAAAAGGATTGCCATCAAAAAATGGAAAAAAATTACAATTTGGGAAAATACAAGAATTTTGAAAAAGACAAAAAGAGAAAACAATTCAAGAAGGCAGAAAAACAAAGATGTAACCACTTTTCATAAAAACACGAAATCGCCTACTTTTACTTGCCCCACGAGCATCTCTGAGACATAGTAATTTTAGAAAAATCCTTTTTAAATTCACAGCATCCGTGCTTAGGAAAATTTCTTTAAATTCTTTTTCATCCTTTGTTGTCTAACCACAGGAGAATTTACACTTGAACTTCAAAATTCTTTCGTCTCTCTGCAGCTGACGAGTAACCTTATGCCTTCTTGATGCTTTCTTCTTAATGTCAAATGCCTTCTGCTCCTCGATGTTGATTTGCCTTGTCTGCTTGCTGTCAAAATGTCTTCTCTCTTGTTCACTGATCTGAGCTCTATTTATTCAGAAATTTAGGCTCACAAAAATCCGATTCATGTTCCTTACTAGAACTTGAGATCACGTCTCTCATTGGTCAGTATATACAAAAAAAAACACTAGAAATGGATCCTTCACAATTTTGGCAGGTTTTAACTACTGATCCTAAAAAGATATACAAGTGTAACAATTTTTTACACAAACTGTCTGGCCTTTATAAAAAAAACTAGCAGCATGACCCGGCGTTGCCCGTGCTTGATTCAAAAATAGTACGACTAATACAGCAATCACTATCTCTTGACTTTAAATATTTTTGCCCTTCCTTGCCTTTAGAGGAGTGCCCTTTGCCGTGCTGATGTTGTTACATGCCTTACTTCTTGCCTATATCACACTGCCAACTTTTTCTAAGCTCTATAGTAAACATTAAATCTGTTACGAAAAAAGAACTAAACAAAATAAACACAATACGATCAGCTTTAAAAAACCGGAAAAAACATTTTTACGGGTTGACCGATTGTCGATTTGCACTCTGTTTGGGGGGGTGCTCAGAGTTGAAATTTCACATGATGACTCCCAATGGCCTCTTCATAAATCCGCTCGGTTTTCGCTAAAAACCGACATGTGGTTCAGATGCAATCTGGGCGTATCGGTTTTTGGGTTTTATCAATTTTCTGCGCTGTTTAGGGGTCCGTGGTCATGAAACTTCTGGACAACACTTCTAATGGTAGACTCTAAGAGGGTGTCAAATTTGGTTGAAATGCGATCATTCCTTCTGTAAGCAGAATTTTTTCGATTATCGATTTTTTCGGAACCTGATTCCAAACTCAAAAATCGGGCTCTGTCATGTCTTTACGGCAGCCATTTGCAAACTTGTATTGAAAACCGCATCAAAATCAGGTGAGAAATGCGGCCTGGGCGAGGTAACAATGCCCACGACAGACACACAGACAGACAACATGAGAAATATAGATAGTAGATACACTTCTCTCAAAAGAATGTGTACTAAAATCAACCTAGACAATTAAACATTTATTCAAGGCTAACATTTTTAAAATAGTAAAAATAAAATTTTTATATAAATGATTAATTTATGATTATTTCAAATTATTTGGAAAGTTTTAATTGTAAAATTTCTTTATTTTTATATTTAAAAAAAAAAATTTAATTGTGCTTTTCCCGAGCAGTGTCTTTTGGACACCCTGCTCATCAATCTGCCCTGGAGCTAGACATAATCCAGATCCTTCAACTTTAGACTCTCAGATGTCTGATCCATGCTTCCAACAGAGAAATATAACCCTAACCCAAAAAGTCATGGATCTGGGACTGGAAATTCTTCCATATATACCAGGGGATAATCCAAGATTTGGACTAGGGTATAGGGGCAAAGGGAAACATTTATGGATTGTACTGTTGGTGATTAATATCTTGGACAGGAGTTTGGGGGCTTTCTCTACATGTAAGCATTTTTCACTTTGATTTTAGTGCTAGCATTTCTATCACTAGAATTTACAAGAGAAAATAATGAAAAGAAATTTACTTCTTCTATGGACTGTGTCCTTTCATGATATGGGTAATCATGGCTCTCCACAACTTCCTATCCTTTTTAGCTCTTAGCAATATTTGTCTTTTTACAATTGTTCCCACTCCCTGTTCTGTTTCCTGTTTTCATTCATTATTTCTTGTGAGTGTCAAATTCTCCAAGCCCACTTTCCTCATTATATATCCTAAAAGTTTCAATTGTCTCTTTCTGATTTTTAGTACCATATATACTCGCATATCATGTGACTTTTGAAGACCTAATTTTGAAGCTAATTTTAAGGGGGTTGCATCATACATGAGATATAAAATTAGCATATGTAATGCTGGCCCTGGCTATGCCATTGACCAAACTATATATGTAAAATATGCTAGAATACTGCTGGAGAGTGCATATTCTTCTTTTCATAAGATTTCTCAAATATTCAGGCCAGGTGATGAAAATAAATAAATAAGTGGGTAAGTTATGAATCCAGCTCTTTTTCCCCCAACAGCTATGGGTTAATTAGTAGCACTTATCTCAGTAAATCTTTATTATCTTCCAAAAATTCTTACAATCTAAAAGTATTTTCTGGCTTTAAATAACCTGTAAAAGGTTAATAAGCCATAAAAAAGAAATAGATCAAAATCTGACCATTAAAAATGGATGACGTATCAATAGTTTGAGAAACTCAAAAGAGTGTGATGGATAAATTGTTGTCTAAATTACAAAAAAATGAAAATAACACTGATATCTGATTTTAATAGATATATTTATAAAAATTAAACAAAAATATTTGGAAATACTAAAGAGTAAATTTATTCAATAAAATCTACATTGGCTTCAGCCATGGCCACCAGACAACTTCAGAATCTCCTGCAACTCTTCTGGACAGTCTCCTTGTTTAAGTTGATGAATGCTGCCATAATCCTTGTTTTCAGTTCATTTTTGGTGTTACAAGGAATTTTGTTGGTTTCTCACTCAACTGTGCCCCACACATAATAATCAAGGGTGGGTGCAGTCTGGGGAGTTAAGTAGCCAAATGTAAGGGGTGATTTGGTTGCAACCATCACTGGGTTCTTCTGCTTCTGTGGTATGAGTCCTGTTGCCAGACTTCCTCCTCAAAGCACAGAATGATTGGAGAGTTTCCCAAGCTGCAATAACATTGTAATTACTATTAAACTCATCCAACTCTTTCTGAATCCTCTGCATTGTCCTCAGATTGACATCCAAACAATCGTATTGGACTTTCTGGCGCAAATGCCAAGCAGTACAGCATGCTGTTTCCAAATTGTGAATTGAGTCACGGTGCTCTTTTTCTTACAGACAGTGCCCAACTGACCCTACTATACTGTCCAGCTGACAAAATTAAAAGCAAACATCATGCAGCCTAAAATTTAAAATATAAAACGGTGACAATTTATTCAACGCACCCTGTATTGCGTAACACTTAAATTGTAGACCTCTGGAATTCTATGTTCAACCAGTTTGAGAGCCCCTGCAATATACCATATATTATTGTATGGCATTCATATCATATGGCTCCTCTGATTATTGCTGCAGACATCAGTGAATTCCTCTGATTCTCCTTCTGTTAAAGTAATTGGAAGTCTGTGATATGGATTCTCAGTCACTAGGCTTTAATTAATTGCCACTTTCTTTCCATAAATAGCAAGAAATTGATAATAGCTTTTATTCTATAATCATGAATTTTTCTCAAAATCTGTTTTTGATAACTCTATTTTTTCTGCTGCTTTCAAATGATGCTTGTCAAGGCTGACAATGAAAGTAACAGGCTTTTGTTGCTGCTTCTTAGACATGTTCTGTTAATGAAAACAGACAGAGAATGGTGATTTTTCTCCTGGTGTCAAAATTTATCTGTCTATTTCAGTCTGATCATTTCTATCAATCTATCACAGTCCGTTCATTTCTATCAATCTATCTCAGACTATTCATATCTATCTATCTATCTATCTATCTATCTATCTATCTATCTATCTATCTTAGTCTGTTCATTTCTATCTATCTAGTTTAGCCTGTTTGTCTAACTTAATCTATTCATATCTACCTATCTATTAAATGCAAGTTTATGCAAATTAAAGAATCATGAGACAAAACAAAGAACCTGTAACTGTATATGTTTTTGAATTGCTGTGAATTTAAAGTTTGAAATGGATATGCATCCACATATCAATAAAATAGAATTTAGCTTCAAATGGCAAATATGCTTGGACTTTAAAGGCATTTAACACATGAGTACTGACATTGAAACATATTTTATTAATAGTGGGTTGATTTCTTTCAATGTAAAGTGCCTCCAGGATTTGTAATTGTTCTTGTTTTTTGCAATTGCAGTGGTAGAGAACTATTTAATTACCAAACAAAATCTGGCAGAAATTAGCAAGGGGGAATGTTGTAATATAACCAGTATATGTCAATGTTTATGCTGTTATATGAAAAACTTTGAGAGATCATTGAGAAGAGAAAATATATTTGTTATTAATATTTATACCCAGAATAAGATGCTGGTTGTTGGTAAAAATTTATTTTTAGTTCACTCATGAGTCAAGAAAATAAACCAATCATTTGTATATTTCTGCAACTGGCTGTATCCAAAACTCTCTGAAGTATCCTTCCTATTCCAAACAGGCAAAAATTATGCAATGGCTCTATTTCCAAATCACAATCCAATATCTTCAAGATTTTTCCCACCATCTCTTAAAGGACAAGAAAATTGTTATACAACATTGGTCCTTTTCAAAGATTATTGATTGGTTGTTTTTATTTAGTGGTATATCAACACCTCTATTTAAGGCCTAAATCTAAATATTTTGTATGCATTTTTATTTTTTGGTTGGGAAATAATAATGGTTTTAGTGATACAGGTCTTTCTAATTAATCCATCGTTTGGGGAGAGAAGAGGTGGATATTTATGCATAAATGAATATAAACCCAACTTCAATTGGAACTTAGCTCTCCAGTTAACAATTCTGAGTCCCTATCCATTACACCACCCACACATCCAAGCTTACATTACCCGGTATTCCCAAGCAGTTACCCATCTAGATACTGACCAGGCTCAACATTGCTTGACTTCAGTGATCATACAGGAACTAGTGTTTCAAAGTGATATAACC